TCTGATTTATAAATTAAAATTGTTAGGATCAGGATTTTATATTGTTATGCTTACTAAAAATACCTCAAAAATGACTAAAAATCCGTAAAATATTGTAACTAATAATAAATTTAAATGCGTCCTTTTATGCCTAATCTCTCTCATTTGCCCGACATATTTCTTGATTGGATTTTTAAATTCAAGAGTCCTAAGATTAATATTATATAGTTATGCGGAATTATGGACAAAGGCTTCAATCATTCACTGGAATCTTTAATAATCTCATAGAATTCTAACTATATATCAGTCTTCCTAGTATATACCTGATATCCTTGTCCCATTTCGATAATTTAAATAGAATATCGTTTTCAACCTCGCGTCTTGTGCGAATCATCTTTACCGTCGTCGTCGTCCTTCAGATGCTTGCGTAAAGACGCTTTCCGGAATTAATACACAAAATTTGCCAGCCTCTACGTGACACGCGGAGCCGGACGTCATTCGCAATTAGCGCCGTTAAAGAGACAAGGCGAAGGAACGGCGCCTAGAACGCTATAAAAACCAATGTAAGAACATGTACGTGTGTATTTTTTCTCAGAGAACTACGATTACACTGTAATCTTCAGCATTGCAATAATTATACCAGAAACGAATTATACCGGGACTGCCGGCAGCATATCCACTATCACGATCAATCTTCTTTACAATCTTGTAAACGAATAAGATTAGTATTCAAAGAAGTGTATTTTCTTTCTTTTTGTGTCTTTTTATGTCATAAAATTTTATTTTGTAAAAATAAGCAAAAAATTTAATAACAAACGCAATTTCATAACATAGACGCAAAAGAGAATAAGGTATACTTTTTACGTTTATATGTATGTATATTCTATTATTATATTATAAAATTTCATTACTAATTTTTACAAAATTTTATAACATAAGATATTAATAAAATATAAAGTATTCTGTATAAAATATTCATATAAACTTATATATAAAGCTGATTCTTTTTGTTAGTAAAGATATAAAGTAATTAATTATAAGCTTATTTAGAGCTAAAAAAATTAAAAAGATTAAGATTTAATCTTAAATTAAAATTGTGTTTTAAACATATTGGACATATATAGAAGCACTTACATATAAACGTATAAAGAATCTATTTTTGTTTGCAAACAAAAACTGAATAAATGCATATTAATCTAACGGTATATAACGGTTGAAAATCGCTGGTTGTAAAGCAGCCGACGTCTAACAACTGCGAGAATCCAGGAAGAGAGTACAGTATTACAAAACGATATATTAAGAAGAACGCTGATAATAATGAAGAGTGCATTTTACATTGTAATTTTAACTTGCGGGCTAAATTATATTCTTAGCTGACAATGACGAAAGTAGATACACAAAGTTTATAATTTCCAAAAGAAATAAATTGATAGTTAAAAATATTACTTTTATAAATAAAAAAATTATAAGTTGTATTCTCAAGAAACAAAATATCTTATGCTTTTTCTGCAAAAAAAAATTCAAAATTTGTTCCATTCCTTATATCTTTTCTATTTTTACAAAGCATTAGAAGTAATTTAAAGTTTGCCAACGTTTTATGATGTAACAGAAATGAATAAATGAGGTCACTAATCTTGACTTAAATAAAATATAACACACAGTCAAAATTAATTTACGGTTTAAATCGCATGTTTATTATTCACGAACATAAAAACATCGGTGTATGAATAACGGGTCTGCCAGTTTGATGTACTCGATAAAGAAATATTTTAGAGATAGAGGAAAATTACCGACAACACATTATCTTAAAGTTGAATATTAAACAAATGTTACGAGCCATAAATAGGAAATACTGTGAATCTTTTTATCGTAAAAATTTCGGACAATGTAAAAATCATAAACGTGCAAAAGGTGTAGATTTAAATGGCCACAACAATTATATAAATCATGAATAAATCCCAACCGTAAACCTCGAGTAGCAAGATCGAGTACGGTGGTTTGAAAACAATGCTGTTTAAAAAGTAGTGTAAAAATGATAATTCTATTAGATAAAAGTTGTGTGGATCGTATCAGAAAGAATCTTGATTAAATCATCTTCAAAGACTTGACAAAGCTCAAATGAAAAAATGAAATAAGCATTAAATAAAATATTCAATATAATTATTTTCAATATAATAATAAATATTTAATATAATTTTTTCTTAGTTTACTATTTTTCTTTAAATAAAGAATCTTTATAATGTAATAAAGTCAATTATAGCTATTGTTTACATACATAACTATATTAGTTTTATTAGTTTAATGTAACTACACAGAAAGAACTGTTTTGATAAAATATCTAAAAACAGATCTGAAAATAATTTTGTTTGGATCATCAAAATAATTACGTAGGACGCTAAAACTAGTTGCTAAAATGTTAAAACTTTTTACAGCAGAGTCATCAATTATGAGTTAAGCGTTCTGAATTATCAAAATAGATGTATAGCACATAATGACAATGCAAAAAGTTGTAATAATTTAGCAATCAGTTTGAGCGTCTTATATATAATTATTTTTCTTACGTAATTATTATATTTTAATGGCTTAAACAAAATTATTTTCAGATCTACATCTAGCTAAATATTTACCTACTTCGATAAAATCATTTTTTCAGTCTATTTCCATTTTAACATTTTCCATAAAATCTATTTTTATTAAACTTAATTTATATGTGTAAATATAAATAGTTATTTGTGTGTGTATGTGTTATCACGAATATTACTCGATTTTATTAGAACGTAAATGCTCTAGCATTGATAGTAATAATCTCTAACAGAAATTGAATTGGACTCGAACCTAATTCATGGACTATCCAATGAATCGACATGCGACACTTTGGCAAAACAAATATTTCAGTAAATTAATTTTCAATGGAAAAACTGTTGTGTCGGAAGCATACGAGACGGAACTACACATAAACAACGGTTTGCATAATAGTGCCCATACATATATACGCACTGGCGCGTGTGTCACACGCATATACGACTCATCGAGCGTTCCTCGATGAATCACGACGAAGATAAAACAATTTACCTGGCGGCGCACGGTTTATCAAGTTCGCAACATATTCGCGACGCGTAAAATGATGCACAAGCGTTCCGGCGGCGTGGCACGAATCATAATAAATCCACTATGCAAATCAGCAAACATTTACACTTATAAATATCTACGAGAAAGTCATGTTTAATTATTCCTTTAATCGATAATATTTAGTCAAACAAATTAAGCTTTAGGTAGAAAATTCTAAATAAAAAAAATTGTTTATATCCTTCTTTTTCTGTATATACACATAAAAAGATTTAGTTTGTGTATTAATTATGAGTCAAGAAATATTTTGTGTATAAAATTTGTAATTCTTAAGTTTCAATAATTCCGATATAAATATTTAAAACATGTTTTCCTCCTGTAAGAATTAAAAATAAAATGACATTCATCGTGCGCTTTCAGTCATTTAGGCATGTCGAGCACGTGCGAGATTCGTTTACTTTCATTGAAAGAAGCTTTGCTGTAAATGAAAGAAAAATACATACGTTAAAATTGACACAAGTTTGCCTGAAAAAAATCTATCAAATCAAGTTAAAAAGAAGAGGAAGAACAACCTATTATATCGCCGATAATACATTTAATCGAAAAAACTATTAAAGACAACAGGTTGGATTACTTATAGAGCTCTCCATTTAAAATGATACCTTAGATACCTAATGCACTGACAGATAAGTAGTAGCATTTTTAAGAAGAGCATTGCATGTTTACAAAGGTATATAACTGTGCATTCTTCTTAATAATTTTCTCGATTGAAAATTTACAATATTAAAAATCTTATTTGCGGTTTTTTAAATCTTTTTTAATCGAATTGAAAGATAAATGTTGACTGAACCTTTTAAATGTATTCAAGGTTGCTCCATACAGCCTGTGTAGCTTTGGCATTACACTTCCGCTCCGATATTGAATGATTCCGAATGAATGCTTTTAAAACACAAACGCAACACGTCATGCCAGATGTACAGGTGCGTCCGCAGTAACCAATAGCAAAGTAAGGACAATTGTTGTATACATAGAAAATTGAATAATTTTAAATTATTGTGTATAAGAAATTGATAAGAAAACCCTGTGTCAGCAAATTTCAAGGTTCTTGGTTACAATCAATATAATGATACGAGATATGATAATTGCTGTTCTAACTGTTTTGTTAAGAATTCTATAACTAGTATCTATAATTATAAGTTTTAATCTTTTTGTGACTAGAAAAGACACAGGCATTCCTTCTTAGAAAATATGATGTACTTTTAATTTTTTTCATACAATACAATAACCTCATATATTACTGTATAAATATTATTTTTATCATTTACTACAATAAATAATTTAATCCTTTAACTGATGTTTTAGACAATTAAGCACATTACACACAAATAAATTAATTCTATATAAATTGGGATAAACGTACAAGTGGCTATGAAGTAATAATAGGAAGTCTTAGTCGGCCATCTATTACGGAATTCCCGCTCCTAGCTGAACGTACTGTACAACGTTGGCAGTTAAAGGGTTAAGCTCGCTCAAGGCGTGATCCCATTGGGTCAGCAACACGAGCCATGTTATGAATCCGTTCGTGAAGATCATCTCGATGAACCGGGCATGAAGTGCCGGGCATAGTCGTGGTCCGGAACAGAAAGGAGCGAAGAAATCGGCGAGCAAGCCAAGAACAGGCAGAAGCGAGTAAGAGCAAAAGAGAAAGAAAGAGAGATAGAAATGCGAGAAGCGGTGTAGGAGGAAGACAAAGAGAGAAGGTGTAGGACGAGGAGGGAGATAAGGTTGGTAGAGTCCAAGAAGGGCGAAGAGAAGACTAAAAGAGGGGCCCCTCCCGGTAGCTCGATCAGCGAGGAGGGTCGGGGCCCCCTTGCACGATCCTGGCCGTCAGCACGGGTGGGTAAATGGGTATATAAGCGGGGCCCCAGCGATTCCATCTCGACACACGACCCAACCTTCATCCCGATCGCCAACGGTCCTTTGCAAACGAACGTAATCGCACGCGCGCGAGAAAAAAAAAAGAGAGGGAAGACAAGAGAGAAAGAGAGCGACAGAGACAAGAACCTCCCCCGCGTTCTTTCGTTCTCCGATCGACCGCGAAGTTCGCGCGAACCGGTGAGAGCCGATCCGCGAGGCAACGAGCGAGACAAGCCAAGAAGAGGAGATCGCCCGCTGTGCCCGACGCCGACTCGACTTGGCAAGAGTTCCACGTTCACGGAGGAGAGAAAAATACGTGAGTACACAGTTCCATTTCTCTTTCGCAGAGTTCCACTTACTCCTCGACCGAAGAAACGATCTTTCGACAGGCAACCACATTGAGCCTGTCGACCATCACGGATTACACGACCTGATATTTTAGTCGATCGATCAAAACATGGGTTTCTTCGTCGAATGATCTTGGATACTAGCATCGTGCGAATCCGCGAGTACCCCCTCCGGTAATCGATCACCTATAAACGTTAAGTGAAACTCTTCACTCCTGACACGTCATCAATTTATTATTTTTTAAACCCTATATAAATCTGTCCCTCGGCAGCTCAGCTTCAAAACGAGTACGTAGATTCCGGTGAGGACCGATAACCAAGACCGTTCGATAAAATCTCGAGTCGCAGTGACATGTGCGGTCGATAGACGCGGTTGGTTGGACGTGGCATGATTATTAGCTTCGCGTTTGTACACGGGAGATTTTTCTCGCAACTATAAGTATTTCTTTCGCAATACGCGTAGGACTCGGTGCCGAGTCGCGGCTTCGCCGCGACGGGGATAGTTTTGAAAGTGGAGCGCGCGCGATAATGCTATTGTTCGCCGTCGGCGCTTATATCCGTTCGTTCAATTAGTCGAGGTGCGGCGAATGCGGATTTTCGAAATAGCGAACGACGCTTCGACAAATGTCCTCCTCTTCGCGCGCTATCAGAAAGGATTGCATCCATTCCATTAAGTTGTCGTCTCGAACTACACTCTAAATAAAACGTGGAAGTGATTTTAACATTAATGATATAAATTTAACCATGATGTAGTCTACTTACATAAATTTAACACTACTGGTGTCAACCCTGCTGATCTCTGTTTAAATTTATTATACTTATATGATCGTGTTTCGTATAGGTCAGTTTGATTAAAAAACTCTAGGAAATATAAAAAATTCATAAAAATAAGATTTTATATTAACAGACAAAATCCACATCAAGTGAAGCAAAAAGTTTTTAAATAAAATTCAAGAAAATAAATTACATTTTAGATTAAATAAACGTGAACAAGACAGCAGGATTAAATCCATACCATCAGTCATCGAAATTACACCTATGCTTTTTAGAGTGTAGGAAATGACTTAAAAAATTGTATAAACATCTTTTTTTATTTGTATTTGAATATATATTTAAAGTTTAATTAATTAAAAAGAAATTCATAAGAACCAAAAATAATCAAAATAAAAAGAATAAAAGTGTCTTGTATTAATTAAATTTAATGTATTACTAATTGAATGTATCGTATTCCTTATCATTTATATTTTACTTCTTAAAATATATATTAATTTTCAATACATATCTAACGTATAATATTTTACATAGTTTATGTCAAGCTTCTCTTGCGACGTTCATACACACGTAGAATATCTTTTTATTTTAAATTATCAGCGAAAGAACAGGATAGAAAGGCATTGCAATTACATAGAATATATGCAACACGTCTTACTGTTAAAAACTCAAAATTTCATTACAAGAGTATTCTAGTTCTCGCTAGATGTGCGTCGCAGTTAAAGGGTTAATAAAGAGAAATGAAGAGGTCAAAGCGAGGAAACGCACGTCGCTCGCGTGCCACGCTCCGTCGTCGTTATACACATAATTTGTAGATTTCTCAAGGAGCGCGTTTGCGTAATTTCGCGTCCCCCTACCGCTGCGCGCTCCTTCCCGCCCCGTAATTAGCCGGCTTAATCCGTCAATCTGCGAATTACCTGCGCCGCGACGTTGACTCGAGGTCGCCAACCATCTTTCCTGACAAATCTCGCAATCAACGAACGTCAAACGTGCACTGAATCTCTGTTTAGAAACAACCCCGCGAATCCCCGAAAATCTATCTTGTGTGCCACGATAAAGCAGATTCATACAGGCTTGAATCCAAGAGAAGAGCAAAATTCGTGTCTTTTGCGCTTATGTGAAGATCCTGCGATTACGAATTAAACGGAGAGTTTCGCGGTTTCAAATTAGATGAGCGAACGCCGGTCTTTCAACACACCACAATCAGAAAAGGCTGCAAAGATGAAAGGCTAAAAGAGAGAGAGAGAGAGAGAGAGAGAGAGAAAGAGAAAAGAGTAGAAGGCTACAATCATTGACGTTGCAGCGCTTGACGGCGCGCGCGACACTTCTTTGTAAGTGTAGTACCATTATTACACCTCTGATGATCTTGATGAGGTAATCGGCGTCCATCATCTTTCACAGGCATTTCCTGCGTCTATCGACCTGGCCGCCGAGCACTTATCTGTATTCGCGGTGCGATCAATGCGCGTCATTCTTATCGAGATTTCCTTTTGCTTTTTCTCTCTTTTCTTTTTCCCTCCCTTCGAAGATTGCGTGGAGAGTGAAAGATTCATAGACATAGAATAAAGAGAAGGAGAATAAAGAAAAGAGAAGCAATGTAGGCAATATAAGCGTAGAATAGAGAGGAGGCAATGCTCCGTCTATCTATACTTACTATGTCTATGAGAGAAGATTGCATCGACAGACATGATAAACACGCGTCTGTCATTCGTCCTCGCGTAACCCGCAGTGTAGGAAATAATTAACAGACATGTCCGTGTGATGCGCGAACAATAAATCAACGACAATGGTACTTGAATTGGCCCGCAATTAAGTTTATTGCGACTACGCACCACCGTCGTACATCCGGTGTAATTACATCCGCAATGAACTTAATTAATTCCACGTAATACAATATTTGGAGACTTGGGGGCTGCGCACAATGGAAGAAGTGTTAGGAATAAGTACTAAGACTTTAAATCAGAAAGCTATCAGAGGATAGTTAAATTACAATCTAGGGCCATTTTTTAACTGAATTTTTTGCAGATTTATTCCCTGTTTTTTTCCATGTTGGAGAAAAAAAGAAAAAAGATGAACTATCAACAAACATTTTTATCAATCTGTTGCAATCAATCAATGCAGATTGACTTTAAAACTTTGGTTCAACATATTTTTCATGTTTTTCTAATTTTAAGAACTAGAAAAAGATAAAAAATAAATCAAGATTAAAGTTAATCTACATTGATAGAAAATGGACATATAAAAGGAACAGATTTATCTATTTTATCTACGAAAACAAACAACAACGGTTACGGTAATTAATGTAATTACCATGGAGATCAAAATCAGTTTACGCAATTGTAGATAAAAAGAAGTCCCTGTTTGCAATATGAACAGCTCCCACTTTCACGCGAAAGCGCATTGCGATTCTTGGGCAAAAGCGAGAGGGGAGAGCAGTTTCGATTTCTGTCGCTTTCTGTCACGACGCCGAAGCGATTTCGGCGATACAGCCAATATTACAGTGAAAAGACGGTCGGCTTCAGCAAGAACGCAATAGTTGCACCGGCCGCAATTGCATTGCCAAACGCGAAACCCTCCCTTCTCTCTCGATCTTACCATAAAAACTGGATCCTTTTGCCGCCTCCCGCCCCGTTCACTGTTCGCCGCAACTACGCCTCGTTGTTCCTGTCTTTGTCGCCACTTCTCGCCATCCCTCTCGACTCTCAGTGTATTCCGGTTTGCCGTAACCGGACGGTTTTCACAAGGCGTACGACGAACGCAGCCTCAGCTCTCGAGCAATGAATCACTATTCCGTACGCGACTCGAGAATAATATATGCCTCACAACTTTTCCAGTTATAGCTAATTAAATGCAGAATTATTATACTTCTATGTGACTTATGAATTTTCAATTCGTACATGATCAAGAAGTTGTTCTAGGAATACACGCAAAGAACGGTTCTGCTATCTAAAAATTTAGCTAGATACGAATTTGAACTGAAAATAATTTTGTTGAATCATTAATATAATTATAGTAGAAGCTTAAACGTTGATGGCAAAATGCTGCAAAACGTTTTAACATTCTTCAATCAATTTAAGCATCCTACATAATTACATTATCAATGATCGAAACAAATTATTTTCAGATTTGTATCGGAATTTTTAGATACTTCAGCAAAATTTTTCTGTATTGTTTCACGATTCTTAATCAGCACCAGGAGACATGATTGAAAATGAAATTAAAAATTAAGTGTGATCTTCTGCGATATAATAATGTAATATTTCGATCATCGAGTTCATTGATGAATTGATTAATCGACGATAGCTACGCAGAAAGACGGACCTGATTGGAAAAGCGATTGCTTCTATCGGAGTGACTACGCTTAACTCGAACTTAATGCATGCCGATCTAGTCGCACCAACTCGACGACGCGTAAATACCGCGTTGTTTGTCTCCTATTTCACGTACACCTACTCGCGAACGCAGAATAGTCTAGTGTTTCGCTATCGCGCGTTGTATTTTGCGACGCAAACATCACAAAACAGAATTTGCAATGTAAATCTATTATCTATCTATACACTTCGCAGAAAACACAAAGCGAACCTTATCAATGTAATGTCCATTTTCATCAATATAAACCTAAATTTCGGTTCAACTCTTATTCTTCATGAGGGGGGGGGGGGAAATAAAGAGTAAGGTTTTGTAAATTAATTTATATTGACGACATAAATCCATTATCAGAAGCAATATGTTTCATAAATGCAAATCTACTCTCTAAATTTTTGGGAATACGATCTCTAAAGAATAAAGATTGAATTGAGCTAGTCTTGAAAAAAGAGTGGCTCAATTTTCAATCTCTTTAAGAGTGAGATTTCACTCTCCAGAGAAATAAAAGTTTTAGAGAGTAATATTCGTTAAAGTAAGGTCTGCTCAAAATTATAAGAGTTACTGATAAGATTCATTATTTTCAATTACTCACGTGCGTAACTCAAAAACTCGCGATTTTCGAACTAAATACATTTTATGCAAGTCTTCCTATGAGACGTACATGAGAGATCCATTCTTAACGTCTCATACACCTCGTGTACAATAAAAATCCGTGCGAGACGCTATAACCTCTATTTTTTTCTACATTTTACGGAGAGAGGAATTGAACGTGCGGAGAAGCCGTAAATGCAAGCACATAACAACCGTGAGGGACACGCATCCTGTCATTAGTTCTATAATGTTCGCCTTATTCGATGCATTAGGTTCAATGTCACACGTCCCTCTCCTTCCTGCCGATTCTCTCTCGCGACAATCCCGATGTAGTGTTCACGGTATCCAGCACAACGTTACCGTTGCTCCTCTCAAAGCCCTCTCTTTCTCTCTCTACGGTGCTTCTCTCATTAACAATCATAGCTGTTGTCCTTTCGCGATCTACAACTGGGTCCATTCATGCATTTATTTCGGCCATTCAGGGCGAGCTGTCATGCTGACAGCCTGTCCTCACGTCCGTTTGCCTAACTAGAAGATTGCGCGTCTCAATGTTTCCTCAATATGGATCCGAACGAATTTCGTTAAATATAGAAAGCTACAAAATAATTGTAATATTCATGATAATTTTTAATCTTAATTGTGACACGCATATTATATATATTAGGAGAAGAGAGGGCAAAATGGAAGGAGAGGGCAAAGCGGAAAATATCATGTATCAAATATCCGAGGGGCTTTACAAATCGCTATCTTACAAAATAAGATAGCGACTCGTACGCATATTTAAGGTCCCGACCGCGGCACGTTCAGATATCGAAATAAGTATTTAAACATTTTACTGCCATATATTTTCTTTGCCTTTTCCTTCCGCTTTGCCCTGCCTTCCCCTATATAAGTCATCTATAACCAATAATAATTTTTATAATTTTAATTACGAATGTATACAAAAACAAAATATCTATTTCCCGATGTCACTGTCATGCAGTGATCGTTTTTTTTTGTTATTTTGGTTAACGTAATGAATATTTGGAGGACCGGAGGCCCCTTTAAGGACTCGACAGTGGCGCCATCTTTTTCGCCACTCAACCCCATGACATTAACAAAAAAGTTCTAGCTCTTAAAATAAAAACATGCCAGTCCTCAGAAGATTAACATAAAAATACGCGCAACTAGTTATAAAGTTAATTGAGAAAGTGAAACCTTAAGATGATTTCTGCAATCACAAATAGACTTATTGCTAGATATTTGTATTTAAAGATATCTTTGAAGCCATCAATTAAATACTTTTTCTGCAATTTCTATAGTAATTTAATTCAACAGTTAACAGAATTGAGTTACGATTTCATCAATGCTACAATGTAATGTTTAAGCAACAAGCATATTATTATTGAATTATTGATATTGAATATCCTTTTACAGATATCACAATGATAAAATTCACTGTGATGATGGTATGCCTCTTGGGGCTGAAAATGATCGCTGCCATGCCAGTAGCTGATCATCACGAGGGCCATCTTCCGCAGCCAATTGAGGATAAGCCCGCAATCTCCTTGAAGGCGGCGGAGACGGCCGTGCAGAGCAGTGTATCCGCGGAACCTGCAGCGGCTAGCCAGCCAGCACAACCAGCGGCTGAGCAACCCGCTGCGGTTGACCAATCTGCCGTGAGGAGCAGTGAATCTGCTAACGACGAAGCCCAGCCGACCGAGGCAAAGCAGGACGAGCCGTTGCAGCCACAGCAATCGAAAGCAGCAGTGTCCGCGGAAGCTCAAGCGCAGCCCAAGTCCTCTGAGGAAGTCCTCGAAGAGAAGGAAGAGCCGAAAGTGTTGGCCACCGAGAAGAAACAAGAGCCAGAGACCCTCAAGGAAGCAGCATCCGAAACAAAGGAGTCTGTACAGCCCGTGTCGCAGGAACAACCGATTGAAATCCCATCCGAAAAGAAAGTAGGTTTCTTATTCTCCTGATTAAGTAATTCTCTTTAATTTTTTTCATCTTATTTTTCTTTTGTACCATTCTTAAGTTAAGCTTCATCCTCTAATCTCTGCAATGATATGCTTCTTTTCAGGAGGAAAACATAGCCGTCGAAGGTAAAAGCGCGGAGGCGGTCGAACCTGCGGCCGAGAAGCCAGTAGCCATCGAGAAGCGCGCTGACGATGCTGCTGAGAAAAAGATCACTGTTAACGAAGAGCCAAAAGAGGAGAAAAAGTTGGAGGAGCCAGCGCAGCCAACTGCGAAGAAAGAAGAGGAAATTCCCGCAGTTGCCGCTACCGAGGAGAAGAAGATTGAAACGAAAGCCGAACAACCGAAGGAATCTGAGGGTCACTCGCTTGCCCACGCCAAGGTCGATGACAAGCCCGACCGTGTGACCCGTGATGCCGAGGAATCTGCTGCGCCCGCCACCGGCGCTGCAGCAGCTCCCGCCGCAGCTGCAGCAGCCCCCGCCGCTCAGGAACCTGCTGCTCCTCAACCGCAGGAAAAATCCGCTCCCGCCGCTGAAGCCGAGCAAAGCGTAGCGCAAGCAGCCGCACCGGTAGAAGAGCCAAAACCAGCTGAGAAGAGCGAGAAGATTGAAAAAAGCGAGCAGCTGGAGACAGCACCCGCAGAGCAGCCAGCTGTCAAGGTCGAGGAACCAGTCAAAAGCGAGGAGAAGGCAGCTGAAATAGCTTCTGAGAAGGAAGCTGAGAAGGAACCGAAGAGCGCCGACTCTCCTATCCAGCAAGCGGAAGCGGCTAAGGAACAACAGCCCGCGCAGCCTCAGGAGTCTAGCCAGATTAAGCGAGATGCGGCGGAAGCACCGGAACAATCTCAGGCCAAGTCGGACCTTCCGGCCGCTGAAGAGCAACAGCAGCAACAGCAGCTGGCCCAGCAGCAACCACAACAGCAACAACAGGAACCTGCTAAAGAGGTGAAGGAACGCTCTGACGATTCCTCCGAAGAGAAATCCTCCGAGGACAGCAAGGAGGACACCAAGAGCAGCGAGGAGGAAAAGTCTTCCGAAGAGCAAAAGAATGCCAAACCGAAGCTGGGGGAATTGCTCCCGAAACCCGAGCAGTAAATCTCGGCACGGGGAGGGTTTGATTGATGAGTAACCTCAGCAGCGCGGCAGCAACAGCAGCAGCAGCATCATCTCGAGGAGAAGAAGAAAGAAGGGAAGTGTTCCTCGGGACGATCTCAGGCATCGATGTCTCTAGCCACCGGGACGTGGGCACGAGTTCGTTGCGAGAAAACAGGAGCGGAAGCGAGAAAGAAAGATGTATGTGTGCGTGTGTGTGTGTACGTGTGTGCATACGTGTGTATGTTGTGAAAGAGCGAGAATAAGAATGACAGAATAAGAAGCACTCTCAGCGATAAATCCAGAAAGTGTGAAAATACTGCACAGTACGAATGAGAGAGAAAGAGAGAGGAGAGAGAAAAATAAAGAAAGAGGGCGAGAGAGGGGGAGAGAGAGAGAGAGAGAGAGAGAGAGAGAGAGAAAGAGAGAGAAAGAGAGAGTGCGAAAGAGCGACCCCATCGACTCCATCGATCTTTCTATTGGATAGAGTTATCCGATATTCGACGGCGCACTACGATCTCGGTAGCGCATCTCCGGGAGCGCAGGATAATCGCGTGTTACCGGATGCTGCGACACGCGGAGTGAACGACACCGTGTATCGATCGTACGTGGTGATACCTTCGATACGTGGTGATCGACACCCGTGATCTGACGTCCCGGTACAGACGGCAGACGGAGAACACACGGCAATCCAACACACAGGATGCTGGCTCGGCCTGGCTCCGACCTGGCATTCCCGTTCGTCCCGGTGGACATCGCGATCTGTCCGCGGGGACGAACTCTGCTCCCCTTTCCCCGATCAATATCTTTCATTCCCTTTATGAAACCCCCACCCTTCTGTGTCCCATCCGAGAATGACACACCACTACACACCCGATAAGCTCATCCCGATAAACTATAATATTAAGTAGTTCGACTCTCTCTGTCTTCTTTTTAGAGATACATGTGTCATTATTATTATTGATTATTATTACGATTTAGTACCAGTACCACTATTATTATTAATATTATTATTTGTATTATTGCTATCATCATCGTTATAATAATAATTATTATTATTATTGTGAATTCCCCGACGGTCTCGTGTTACTACCAACCGCCCATCTATGGATCGTTCTTGCTCGTTCACGAGCTGCAAGTTCGAGTTTCAGGTTTTAATAATATATACAAAAGTATAGAATTTTACAGTAATAATTACGGGATTCTACTGAGTTTTTGCGGAGATACTTTTCAAGCGATATATTGAAACGAAAATAGACTTCTGAAATCGGTATTGTACACAATCGTACATAACTTTCTTCCACAATACGTAATATCTTTCATAATATCTAAATATCATTAATATACTGTTAAATTTATATCAAATTATACCAATTCAAGTCATTTTAATCATCTCTATAGGTTGCCAACTGATCCTACTCGATATGTCGTTAATTTAAACTAACCAATGAACTTGAACAACTTCAAATTTGAAAAAATGTATAAAGCGTGATTCAAATTTAATTTATTATTCACTATGTGCATACGTTAATATGGACGTTTACTTTGAAACCAAGATAACACACATAAAAATAACAAAATGTTATTTAATTAAGGGATTGCTATTGCTTCTTTCATATATAACAGTACATCTGTACATATAACAGTATGACTTAGATATATTGAGTTAAGAATACTGAAACATAACAATATAACAGTGTATACCTAAAGTTTCATGCTCAAATTACTCATCTTTTCAAAGCTCTAGACTACAGTTATTATAAGTCGCTTCCGCGAGTTGCAATGTAAAGTACAGTTTCACTCGGTTACGATCGCACGAAGCAGTAGTAGAGATTTGCAAGATATTTAGAAAACAAATGATACGTCTGTGAATGATAACGTCTGTAAAAAGATAACAGAACGGACGCGAGAAGAGGAGTGCAAGTGGCACATCACTGCGTAAATCGCTCGCTGATAAATTATGCGATTTGCAAAGGTCCGTGTGATAATATTAGATGTGATAAGCAGCGATTTGTCAATCACAACGTGCTTCAGCATCACAGAAACGACGAGGATCAACGTCGCGGTTGTAATAAGTTAACGAGTGACTCACGAAGTAGCACTTAGTCGTTCTCGACAGCGTGCACAGAGTACGTACACAATGTACGTACATACGTACCGTGTCAGATACGATAATCGAGGGCTTCCGCCAGCCGATAAACATCTTCGCACTTCTCTAACACGAAATAACAAGGCACAACGAGCGCGCACCGGCAGCGAATTGAGTAAATGATAATAACCCCTTAATTTACGACCCTTAACCCTTTACTGTGACCACTTTACCTACAAATCGTTTACGTTACGCAATAAGATCAAATAAAACGTGTCTTTCATTGGATTTCATAGATGTTTCGTCGAAAATTGCATTCCATTAAGATATGGGATTTTGCTATCGAGTACATACATATTTACTCGATATAATTATAAGAGAATAACATATTAATTATAATAGAAACCTTATTAATTTTTTTTAGGCAAATTTTAATTGATAATATAAAAACGGACTGACTTTCCTTCATATAAATAAAGAAATAACTATATATATTGTAAATGAAAACGTAATTAAAAGGAAAATATATACATATATATATCTATCGTATTTTATAGTAGTAGTTTCAAATCAGAGATAGATTATCATTCATCGTCAACAATTTAAGTATCTGGCTTCGAGTTCAAGAACTGTTCAGAGTCTCGTTATTAATTACATTTACGCATAGAATTATTAATTATGAAAAGCTTATATCAATTTTTTTAGACGATCGTAAAAATGTCTAGCTTCCTTTCAAATATAAAAGAAATACATAATTATGTACATATCATAAATGAAAATGTCTTTAGAAAGGAAGATATGTGTGGTATGGTATTTTTTTTAAATATATATTCAAAGAGAGATAGATTATATATAATTATCATTTATCGTAGACAATTTAAGTATGACTTTGAATTCAAGAACCCTTCTATTAGCTAAAGTTTTATTATTAATAAAGAAGATATGCATATTGTATATATATTTTATATCTTCAGAGATAGATTATAATTATCATTCATGATGGACAATTTAAGTTAGCCAAAGAGTTGTCCATGGTATCATTATTAATTACATTTACGTACAAAATTATTAATTACAGAGAGCTTATCGATTTTTAAGGCAAAATTTTAATTGATAGTATAGAACCGTGTAGTCTTTTTTCAGATAAATAAATAAAGATAATTATATGTATACACAGCATACACAGCACAATTGAAAATGTCATTAGAAGGGAAAATATGTATGCATCGTATTTTATAATATTTTCACAGATAAGTTATAATTCATCATAAATAATTAAAGTATCTAACACTTAGCAGAAGAATCGTTCAGTTTCTCATAATGCATAGAAAACGCAATAAATCCCACTAATTGTATAAGTATTAAGGGTGCAATAAACCACCACTAACAATAAGAGAGGCGATCGCGGATTTACGGCGTCACAGCCGATACCTTTCTATTCTCGCAAATGCAATTCCATAACGAATCGGCTATCCATGAAGAATGCACTTTCATAAGAGCCTGAGTCACGTAACTGCTCGCGAATGTCGCATCGGTGTAAGCCGACATTTTCCCTTGGTGCATCGATTCATCAAAGGGCGAGCGAGCATCTCGATCGCACTGCGATACACTGGGTAGGTAGGCATAAACAAGACTGCATAAGGTGAGTACACCCAGCGAAATGTCAAGGCATAGAAGAAAGAAAAAGAGTGACAAAAAGAATTTTGTAACTCGTCACGCGGAGATTGTTTCATTATTATTGTTCTTTACATTTCATGTAAAATATGGTCCTGCATTCTTACCGTTCAATATTAAATATCCCCGAAATTAAAAGACTCTCTGGAAAAATTCCGCAACCATCATTTTTATAAAAAAGTAATATTTTTAATAAAAAAATGTTGTTTGTGCAAACATAGACTCCATGTATTTCTTTTTATATTTCTTGTAAAATTTTAAAGAATGGTTGAATGCAATGTTCTATCAGAGAGCTATTTAATTAATTTTTATAGAACAAGGGCGCTATACTAAGAAGGCGCTTTTCTATTTTTATTGTATTATATTTGTCTATTTATTAAATATTGAAATTATTAAATATTGGAATAGCAGACGGACGAGGAGTTACTATAGTAACAGTAAGACAATGTCATGTTTTAAGATAAAGAATATAAATAATTATAATAAATCTTACTAAAAAATTACAAGATTTAAAAAACAGACCCATCCGCATTCTAAAGATTAATTTAAAATAAGTACAAACTGATATTATTTAGCGCTAGATTATTGCAGAGTAACATTACTTATTTATAAACAAAATTTATTAAGACGAAATGTCTGTATAAATGCAAAATTAACTTATGCAATTTGTATTTTGTATTTTTTTCCCTTTAAGACTTAAAATTTAATTCACTTAAATTTTTAATTAATATTTGGAAATAATAATTTTGCGAGAAATAGAGAATAAGCGGAAAGTGCACATATAAGGGACGTACAACTAAATGCCTCCGTGGCGCAATCGGCTAGCGCGTTCGGCTGTTAACCGAAAGGTTGGTGGTTCGAGCCCACCCGGGGGCGATATTTTTTTTATAATTGTTTTTAATATCATTTAAATGTCAGTTCGTGACTTCTTATTTTAAATATACAAAAGCACAAGTTTTACGTTGTAATATTACAATATAGTTTGAGATAAAACGGATAGTCAACTATTTACAAAATAAATGATATAAAAAAATAATTAATGATAAACTAATTAATTTTTGTTACATTTCTTAACTCTATTTAGCTAAAGAAAATAATTAAAAAACAAAAAAAAAATGCCTTGACCCCGACGTGATTTGAACACGCAACCTTCTGATCTGGAGTCAGACGCGCTACCGTTGCGCCACGGAGTCTTGTGATGTTGTCTCCTTCTAATGCAATGATATGTATCGGTACACTTAAAACGATAGATTCACGATGTATCGTTGAATGATAATTGTGACAAAGCAAAATAAAAATATATACTTGAAACATATCACATACCTTATTTGTAAGTAAAACACAGGCTAACACACCCAGAGACCACCAATCGACTTCCTGTCCATAATATTCCTTCTTTAAGATTTCCGGCGCTGAAAAATCATGATAAAAGATTCGCTTCAGTATGACAAAATAGAAGCGTATTTTCATTTTATATTTTATATTGTTAATCAATTATATAATTTATATTGTTAATCAATTAATTATATTGTTAATCAATTAATAATCAATTAAAATTTATCACTTTAAGCAAATTGCATATATCACTCATTCGCTATAACAATATAACTTAACATTGTCGTTTTTTAATTGTTTACAGAGAAAGAATGAAAATATAAAAGAAAGAAACATATACTATTCCTTCACAATCAATTATTACGTTAAAATTACATTTTAAGATTAATACTCCAAAATTTTAATGAATAAAAACATTTAAACTCATTTTCTGGAAAACTTAATTTTCTGAGTTATGTTGACGTAGCAAAGAAGTAAAATAATAAACGTATGTGTGCTATTATAATTATATATTGTTATATATAACATCTTCTTACCCATATATTGAGGTGTTCCACAGAATGTGTTTGTTCGTTCTGTGCGATGCAACCACTTGGCCAGACCAAAGTCGATAATCACAGCATGGCCATCTTCATCAAGTAGAATATTAGTTGTTTTCAGATCTCTGTGTACTATACCAGCGTTGTGTAGAAAATCTAAATAAACACATGTTTTTGTATAAAATACAGAGATACCGAATTTTGTATATTGCTGATAATTGAAATTATTCGTGAATCTTGTACATACGTTACTGATTATTGAAATTATTCTTACCTATAGCTAAGGCAATTTCAGCCACATATATCCTAACTACTTTCTCAGGCAAACAGCCATACTCATTGACTAGTGAAAATAATTCTCCTCCAGAAATGTAATGCATTACTGTAATATTATTTACGTTTGTCAGTCTGTTTAGGATTACATTAAAATTTAAATATTGTAATAACAGAAACATACATATATACAACGTCTTCCTGCCTTGCCATCTATGGACAGAATTCACTATGAAAGGATGATGCCCAACCATTCTCAGTATCGCTGCCTAAGTATGAAACATCAAATCTATTATATATTATGTCAAATAAATATATTTATCAAAGCTGCATTGTCTCAGATGTAGACGTACCTCCTCTTTAGCTTGTCTGACACAATTTTCTGCCACAATCATGGCTTTGCTAATCACCTTCAGTGCAAAGATCTGACTAGTTTCTTGCTTTTGCATCTTATATACTTTGCCGTAAGCACCCTTAGCTATTACATCTAAGAAGACATATCCTGTTTTCAGAGGTATCTCTTTGACTGGAAATTCTGGTAGGAACATTGACTGAGAACGTAAAATGGGCCATACTGTTTTGGAAGATCCATGAATATCTTGTGTAGTGCCTTTGGTCCAACTGAAGAATAAATAAGTACAAATTTAGTTCTTGTAATCATGATACTTAATATGTATAGAAATTCTATAGATCACAAAGTCTAGTAATAATGCTAACTCGTATTACCTTCTGTGAGAAGCACGGGACAATGATCTCCCTTCATCGTTAGAAGCCTGTGCTGTTGTATTATTGACGCAGCTTCCACCAAGCAAATCACTGAGACTGTACTGTAAATGAATAACATTGTCTTTCACGCAAAAAATATATATTTAATTATAACGTCATACAAACGCACAGCAAATGTATCAGGACATAATTCTTTTTAAGTAAATTCGACCAACAATAACATTATATTAATATTACAAGTTTTTATTTAATAACGTAATTGTTATGTAAAACACATATATTATATTCATCTTGTTAAACGAGCAATTATGTTATTGATGTAATGTTATTGCTGGTTGATATTTATCGGGAGGACATAAATTCTTTATTGTAGGTTAGGATATGAGTCTAAAGTGTGTCTAAACAATACCCACCTGACTATCATACCTCTGCTGATTATGATAGTTTCTTTTGGCATTGGAGTTGCCCATTCAAGTGACAGTACTCCGATCGATAGTGGATCCTCTCAAACTGAGGTATTATTCAAAAGTGACGTTTTTCGATACGTCATTCTGCTGTCGTGTTATCCTAAGTTAAAATACCAGTCGTGCCGCTAGTTCGTTTGCGCGTATTCATACTGTCGTTGAGAACTTATAAACATGCACGGCGCGGCACGGCGCGTATAATCGTGTTATCTCACACGGCAGTCTAGTTCGATGACTGTAAATAAAATTACCAATTAAAATGACAAATTGAGCCACGCTGTACACAGAATTATTAAATCGAACGCAGCATCGTATCACGCGACGCAAATAACGCCAGTAGCAATTAAACTAACTGAAAAAGCCCAGTGAATCGTTAGAGATGATGCAGAAATTTATTTACGACGAAAATCATGCTGCGAACATGCGCAGTACGCAAGTTCCTCCCAAAGACGGCGAATCACATGAAGGCAGAACCGCGAAACGCTTGCAATCAAATATAGATATACTTTACTCATACAAGACACTCGTAATCCCGTTAAAACATTCTATAAATACATAGCTATATTCCACAGCTGAACGAATGCAATTTGAACTTACGTGAATGTCAAAATTCAAACATGCATCTGCGGACGGAGAAGTTGAATAATTAAATATCACTCGCGATGAATTTGAATGTATACGTTATCATAAAAGAGCGCGAAAACACCGTCCGCGGCTTACGCAATGAACATTAATTATAAGGCACCCGAAATTGCAGAATAAAATTATAGGCAGGGAATGGAAGAGTTACTTTTACAGTTACTTTTTATAACAATGTGGTAACGATGTTGCAATTTTTTATGACTGTGCAGTAATAATAACTAACTAAACGCTTCAGAGGCTAAAATCATTTTAACCTCTTAAGCGTTTATAGTTATAGTTATCATTACAGTCATAAAAAATTGCAACATTGTTATAAAAAGTAACTGTAAAAGTAATTCTTCCATTCCCTAAAACAGGTTTAAAATATATGTATACAGGGTGTCCCATTTTAAAACTTCCACGCGATTATTTCAGACAAAAGTTGTTTGACTCGAAGAGGGACATAAGATTTAACCTTGGATAGTCCTCTGAAGGTTACGTGAAGGTCAACTTTAATTTTTTAAATGGAATTATATAATTTTTTTTTTTAGATAACGTGATTCCTCTAATATTATTTTGCATATAAAAGTATTAAGGTAGAAATACCAAAAAACCAATATAGTTTACGAGATATTTTACATTATTTTATTTTGGTACATATTGACACAAAATGTTAAATAGCTCGTAAACTGTTGACTTTTTGATTATCGTACCTTAATTAATATTTTTGTGAACAGAATATAATGAGATAAATCAAATGGTGTAAAGAAACACATAGTTGCTTTAAAAAAAATATATATGCAAAATGGATGATTTTTTAAATACGCAACTTATGTGTTTTCTTTACGAATTATGTAGAGACACTTTTACGCTACACCTCTGCAAAATTCACCAAAAAGCAGCCCGCTGCCCGCGCGCAAATGACGACGCCAGTAGTGCCGTCTCGGAGAGAATACGAACCTCTTAGCGCCGCGAGAGGTTCCGTCGGTAAGAAGGCTAGCTAGCATTACCGACCTCGCCGGTTAAAGGGATTCCCGTTAGAAAAAAAATGACCGACGCGTGACAAAGAAGAATTGTACCATCCACAGCGCAGTGTCATTAGTGCGCCCATAACTGTCCGTCCACGTGACCACTAGCCGCTGCGCCGCCTATGGTGCGTGGTTGCGTGCGAGTGTAGTTGGGAGACCAACCGTACGATTGATTCTGTAGTGTCAGAAGATCGTCGGTTCTCCAGGATTTAACTTTTGTATGCCGTCCGCGCGAACGCGGCCTGTGCCTGTGACACTTGTATGTCAGTCCGCGTCGGCGTCAAACGTGCGATTTAATTATGATTAAATTATTCTCGTTGAAACAAGCGAAAAAAGATGGCGAGTCACCCAAGGCTGGTACCCAGAAGAAGGCGTCCGCAGCACAGCTGAGGATCACGAAAGGTTTGAAGCAATGCTGTTGAGCCACGTTGTGCGCTTCCTGCGTGTCCGTTTTTTCTCTTACCTAGTGCTCCTTTTTTTTTCTAGACATAAACGAACTGAATCTCCCGAAAACGTGCGGCACGGAATTCCCGGATCCCGACGATTTGCTAAGCTTTAAATTGATCATCTGCCCAGATGAAGTAAGTAAACGTTTGTTCCAGAGCACCATATAGTCCTTACACTCAATTAGATCAGTGTTACTTTTGTCGTCTACTCAGAAATCTAGATTATTCTTGGTGTTTAGATAATTAACATGGTAGGTTCTTTTAACATCGACATTAATTTTGTTATATCTCAATAATCTGAAAGTTTATTAATTGTTTCAGGGATTTTACAAAGGTGGTAGGTTTGTATTTAGTTTCAAAGTTGGGCCCAATTATCCACATGAACCACCCAAGGTGAAGTGCGAGACTCAAGTTTATCATCCTAATATTGATTTGGATGGTAATGTGTGCCTCAATATCTTGCGAGAGGACTGGAAGCCCGTCCTCACAATCAATTCCATCGTTTATGGTCTCCAGTATCTCTTTCTAGTATGTTTATTCGTTATCATTTCTGATATTATTACCAGTTTACAATGTTTTGCAAATAAAAGCTATATTGCTATAATACAGATAGATAGATAGATAGATGTATATAGAGCGCTAACCAAAAATATTAAAACACCTTATTAACTATTATTTAAAACTTAGCTCAAACATTGAATTATGGAGTTTGCTGTAAATGATTTTGTTTTAAGCATCCTTCAAATTTGTGTATAATGCCAATAGTCAAGTAACAATGTAGATAAAAAAATTCTAGATAAATGAAAATAATTAAGTGCCCAATAATTTTTAACTGTATTATTACATTATGATATTACGTTGCATGAAATTCTAAGAACAGTATTTATAGTCAGTTTTTATATTTAAGACAGTCTTAAATAGTCTTAAGATGTCATAAACCAATTACAGAACGTCTTAAAACATTAATTATGATGGTTAAGATAAGAACAAGCTATGAATACCTGTACTTGTAAATACGTGTAGTTATACATACAGCTGCTGCCAAAAATTTCTGGCCAACAAAGTTATATTGTTCACATAAAGTCTTTATAAATAAATATCTAGTATATAAGTATCTATTATATTTTATAATACAATAGTATTTAAAATATTTAAAAAATATTGTGCTCTTAAGTTGATTGATTATAACAAGAAATTTAATAGAACTAGAAATTGTAAATTCGCACAAAAATATCATTAGGCATCTACTTTGACAAATGACCTTTATTTATGTTCAAGAATTTTTATTTATAATATAAACTGAAAAAGAGATTGACCCAAAAATTGTAAAATTAATGTTGGAAACTTTTGGCAGTCACTATATATATATATATATTTTATATATATATATATATATTTTATACATACGCACGCACACACACGTTAGATTTTTCAGAAAGTTTGTTTCAATTTTTTAGCTTAAAATTGTGTATACAAAATCTTCGTAAAAAATGAACGAAATTTAAATTGAAAAGGGTTTTTAAGCTTGTAAAATCTATTTTTTTCAAAAGGTTATACTATATTTTTTTAGTTTTTTTGAGTTTGGTAATTTTTAAAAATAAACATAAAAAAACTACGAGTTGAAAAAGATGTAAAATTTTCTTTTCACTTTGTGGGTCTTTCACGTGACCAAAAAAAATTTGCAAAAATTCTTGACTATCGTGAAACCATGAAACTTTCTCTACGAAATCGTTTTTTTTTAATGTTCCGACGATTTTTTGTTCCTAAATTATTCACGAATTAAGTAAAAGAACATTTTGATTTTAATTACTCCGTTAAAAATTATTGTACCATAATTAAGAAATCAAATTCTTAAAGCTGAAACTCTGCTGTATCGAATGGTATAATCTCTAATTTTTTAAATCACACAGTACAATATACTATTTTGAGCTAAAAAATTGAAAATTAACTTTCCGAACAGTCTAATATATGTATAACTTTATGAGATTCTTATTATTATAAAAAAAAATTCAATATATATAGAATTTTACTTTTAGTATAATAATATTTCTAATATTTTTAAATAATACAAATTATAAGGCTCTATGAGTATAAAAACAAAAAAAAAAATATATATATATATTTTTAAGGGCAAAGAGTCAGTAAAACAAATTTAAATTTAAATGATGACACTCATACAAAGAAGTTTAAATAATACAAAGTTATATATTATATATGAATATAAATATAAATAATGCACAGACGTTTTGACTTCGATCGGGTCATTTTCAATGTAATAGTAAAAATTATATTAAAGTTATGTTCGTAAAAGAAGATTTTGTAATATAAATATATAATTTTTCATCGTCTTCATATCCTATGTTAATGTTGTATATAAATAAAATTCAAGTCAGTCATTAAAAAGTTACTCGATAGTAAGATAATATCAATCTTGTCTTCAATAAATAATGATGAAAATGACCCGATCGGAGTCGAAACGTCTGTATTATTTATATTTATATTAAACTTTGTACTATTTAAACTTCTTTGTATGATTGTCATCATTTAAATTTAAATTTGTTTTACTGACTCTTTCTCCTTCTTCTATATATATTATATTTTTAATTTGTTTATTTTTTATTATTTGTACTAAAAGAACTAAATGTTTCAACAGGAACCAAATCCTGAGGATCCGTTAAATAAGGATGCGGCTGAAGTTTTACAAAACAACAGAAGGGTTTTTGAACAAAATGTAACGAAAGCGATGAGAGGTGGTTACGTAGGATCTTATTATTTTGAACGGTGTCTCAAGTGATACAGTGCCTCACCATCAATACTGTACACGCTTCTCCAAGGACTCACTGTAGGTGAAAAGATCCAAAACTATGGAATGAATATAGGACCGCATAGTGTCCTCATTGTCACTTGCGTGATAACATTAACATATTTACTTTCTTTATGTCTTGCCAGGCCTATATACATTTAATTGGAGATATATTTTTTTCTTAGCATAAACAACCCGGGCGATTGGAATGCATCGTTCATTGTTTTCGATAAATTACCAAGAATGTTTATTGGCCATGGCATTATTTTAGTGAATTTAAAGTGCAGTGTTGAGGGGCTGATAGAATTATAGTTTGACATTTGGCAGAGAGATAATAGATGTTACGATGTGATTTAATTGTGTTCCATTTACGATTCTGGACCCGAAATTGAAATGTTTTTGGATCCTGAATTTTAAACTTGTTTTGCGATTTTTATAGGTATCTTAATTTATGAAATATTTATTTTCTAAGAGGCGCAACCTATTTTCATAATGATTCACCGTAGCATCTATCAAAATCTGCTTTTCATTTAAGTATATGTACAAGTAACTTATGTATTTTGACTGAGAATGGAATATAAGGCTGTTACAAAACTGGAAATATTTCGTTTGGATTTTCGCAAACAGCATATTTTTACACCCAACAGAACAGTTCTCTTTCTGATATATGTAAAAATAACGATTTGATGTCTTCTTTTTTATGGGAAAAGTTAGAATTTATTTCACATTAAGCGAAAAGATTGGTTTGCTTTATATGTACAAGTACAAACCTTACAGTCACTAACAATTACGAGATACAATACAATCGTGAGATTTATTATGTGCTACAAAATTTTTTAATTTGTTATTATATACTTCGTAATTACTAGAAATATTGGAAAGTATATTTTGAACGTCACGCTTGTACAGAGTCTATATAAAATAATTGAGCATATCTCAATGTAGTTTAGAAAAATTGATACATGCAAGAATCACAGAAATACTTATATAACGAAGTGTGTTAAAATGTGCCACCGATACTTTTTTTTTCTATTTGCTCTTATATTGATGTATAAATCGAATATTTAGATAACACCATATATATATATATTTATGTATATATATATATATATATATCTTTCCAATCTGTAGACATTTTGGAATTCATAATAGTTATTTATATAATCACTAGTGAAAATAGAAATAAAAAATGATGATAGTGTATCTATACAAGTGTGAAAAAAATTTTTTGTCGCTTACATTTTAATTACATGTTGAAATTATGCCATAACAAAATTTAATATTGCGATTTTTCTGAACTCTGATTTTATTCTACTTAAAGAATAATCTACGATTGTGTGTGTGTGTGAATTCCAAACTACTATATGATTGCATATATTTTGTTGTTTATTAAATATATTCAATTATAGACAGATGTAAGAGAGTTAAATGCTAATCTACAAACATACTGTAAACTCCAGAAATAAAGGTCTTGGATAAATAAATAAATGACAGATACAATAGAGACTACATTTTCAGTTTAATAATGAAGTTTCTAAAAACTTCATCCGTATATTAAAGCACCAATTATAGTTATCTTACCTCTTATCAGTTTATACAATATCAAGACTTAAGCGTATATGTGTGATGTTTTATCGTAAGACTCGCCGCCGCTACTATTATATATATTTATATAATTTATTTATTATATAAAAACTACGGAGAGAATATACGTGTGGTAAATATTCATTACAAAGAAGTTACGACTCATATCCTATAAAGAGCAAAGGAACAGCTTTTTCGTCTCTTCTCTCTATCGGTTACTTTAATTTATTATTCTTTAATACAGTACTTCTAGAACTTATGAACTAGAGAAGTGTCCTGGCCTCACTCCGACCTACAGCTTATTCTGCTGTATTCTTTAATTTAGGTCCCGTCTGCACGTTAATGTCTCAAGGCACTTTTTTTTTAAATATTCTTGTTTGAAAAGCTGACACAATTAACTTTCTCTCTCATTACATGCAAAGATTTTAACTGTACTAATGATGGAGTTCGGATCACAGTGCGAAGAACGATAGTATCTTTATTTGATTGCGTCGTACTGTTTATGAAATAAATATGATATTAAAAATCGCTTTTTATGCTACACATACATCTTCGATAAACATTGCAAGAAATCAATAGTTATAATTCCAAATGAGCCAATCTAAAAGCAGGGTACTGCAAAATAAAATTAGCGAATATAAGAAATACGTGATTTTTATTTGTTATGCTAAAAAAAAGATCATGTATATCAAAAATCTTTCTTCTATATATTATTTATGTATCATTTTATCAATTTGGAGTATTATGTAATGTATTGATCATAACTATGTAACTTTCTAATATTTGAAACTATTTGAATTGTCCTGTTACATATAAAGTATTCCTGACTTTTTAATCCAATTTTAAGAGATATGCGCATTATATATCAGATACATTAAAATATTGAGCAATAATATACAAATTTCTATAATCTTGACTTATGTGTTATTGATATTATTTTATATAATTATTTAGACTTTTGCCGCGTTTAGCAGAATGTTTATTTTGCAACTGTCGAGTTTCTTCGCTGTGATACAACTATTCCTTTAGATCTAAAGATATAATTAGCACAAAGAAAATTTCATGAAAAAAAAAACGCTATGGTTGTCACAACCGAAAATAATATTTTTCGCTCATCAATACAATTTAATTATAAGAACTATAATAAGATTAAGATAATTATATGAGATATCTTAACAGTTATAAGCTGTTACTATGGTTCTTATAACTAAATTGTACTGATAGACAAAAAATATTATTTTCATTTGTGACAACCATAAAGTTTTTTCTACATTCCAACAGTTGCAAGATAAGTATTCTGCTGAACGTGGTCTTTAAGACTAATGTTCATTACAAATAAATAAAATGTGTAAAGAGAGACTACTCCTTAATATGTGTGCTCCAGGTACACAATATTAAAAAATTATGAAACTTATTTTTTCGCATTTCTAATAATATTTTCATAAAATATATCAAATTCCGTATAAAATCGAAGTTAAAGTTCTAAGTTTTTAAATACAAGTAATTCCGTTAATTTAAAACAAATTAAAATCTATTGTATGTATTTTTTTCTGCGCTATCCGCTGTATTTTTGCATGCACCCTGTATATAGAGAATCTAAAACTGAATTTGAAGTAAATATCAACGATTAAAATTATTGCACAGCAATTTCTTGCAGCTTTACATGAAAAGCAGATAAGTCTCGTATTCGATAAACAGAATAAAAAGTTTAGTCGAGTATATAGAAGCATATATACTTATCAACAAAATGTTGACAACCTAGTTTCACTATCAAATAACATTTTAGTACAAACATGGACTTAAATACAAGATCACAATTTATACTTTGAAGCGACACGTACTTGACACATACGTCCTTTTGCATTCCGATATAAAAAGCTCTCTTGTGCAGTAATATCATTTCACTAACCACAGCACAGAACACCTCTTCTTTGTACGCCTTTATCATTTTGGGCTCTGATATTATAATTTATTTCTGCTCCGAGTTCGTCCTACGTAATAACATTACCTCATGAAAGAAAGAGCTCTGTTTAAATTTAATGCCTTTTATTATTATAAAATAGATATTAATTCATGTTGTATCATAAAAGATTAAGACCTAAGATTGTAAAGCTACGTTACAGAAGTTATTCAAAGTGCTTTGTTAAACCATTTGTGCTCTATCCTTCAGGGTACAGTTTGGACAGCATAAAATATGGCAGAACTTATCTTTTTCAAAATAAAGCAAGCTGTGCTGGGATTTATGTAAAGTGATCGGTAACTGCAGAAAAATGTTTGGCCATATATGTAATACAATATACATTCAAACGTAGACTTAAAAAAAAAACAATGTTTATTTAAAGATCTAAATTACTCTTATTTCTAAAGTTTTTTTATAGGCAACAATTTTTCAAATTATGTCTAGTAACCTTGACAAGTTTCATTTTTCCTTTTCAGCAGAATAGCTATTCGCAAATAGATCTGGAGAATATTCAGCATGATATTTTACTGAACTAATTGTTAATATCAAATAACATAGTTTATACACATACTCGAAAGCTTTTTTTTGATATATTTATACCAACAATTTAACATAAATTTTGTAACATATATTTTATAAACTAAGCGAATTTTTGTTTGTTAAAATAATTTCTTATGTAGGCAAATAATCGGAGAGTAAATATACATTTTATGTGTATGTGTGTATGTGTGAGTGTGTGTGGCGAAAATATATATCTAGCAAGTTATGTTAGAATTTTCTTAACTAAAGGTACTTTAAAGTTAAAATATTTCAATAGTATATTTTAAATTGTCAAGAAAATATGTTATAACTTGCTAGACGAAGAGTAACATTTTATTTGAATAAAAAAATATCGAATTTTTATTTATAATAAATGTGTAAAAGAAATGTGTAATATACATTTTCACATGATAATTAATTGTAAGTAGCATATCTGCTGTCTTTCCATAAAACAGTATGCATAAATGATCTCATAATGATAAAATTTTAAAATCGTATCGATATCTTAAAGTAAGACTGTACTGAATTGCCTTAATAATGTACAATTAATTTACACAAAAATAGTAAATAGGAAATGCGTCATATTTTCGAAATAGTCGTATAAATAATGTTCATGTGCCACAAATGTCCATCCAGATTCTGTATAATTTGTTTACTTACTTAGTTAACCTAAAATTGAAATGATTATAAGTCTTTATCGACTTAAAGGTGTTCCACCGAAGTTAAATGAAGTGGGCACAGTCTGTGAGTGAAAAACATATCCTAAAAAATATGAAAGAATTATAGAAATTAATAAAATAATATGCAGATTAAAGAAATACGCAGATTAATTATAGATCAATACAAATTCTCAACTATTAAAAGCAGTATAAGTTTACCTCCGCTCTGCTCGATTCTTTTACTCTCTAAAGCCGCTTTGCGCTGATCCGCCAGAAGAATAATTTCTTGTAAAGCTTTCTCTTGTTCAGGATTAAGAAGACTTGTTAAGGCTCTATACCACGCCACGTCGGATCTTTCAATATCTATTTAAAAATAAGAAATATACGAAATGTATTTTAATACATTTCAATGCATGAAATTTTAATCTTGAAATCAGTTTATATATATCAAATATTTTTTAAATATTTACTTTGTATGATTTCCTTAAAAATGACGTATTCATCTTGATTGGAATCCTCTGAATCTAAAGGTGTAGTATAGCTTTCAAGAGCAGTCTCTTCGTTACCGTCATACTCTGAGTCATCATCATCATCATCTGATCTATGATCACCGTGACCATCTTGTATAGTCGCATTAATGTTAAAACCATGTTGAGCAGATGTTCGTGTTATCTTATCTTGTAATTTCTCGAGATATTCTTGATTAGCATCATCTATATCGTCTTCATCCGATGATAAGACATCTAAAAATCGAATTTAATTAGTTTATATTTTATCATGTGGACTCTATATTTCATATTTTTGCTATAACTTTTAACTAAAAAGCATTTTTCTCTTATTTCTACTCATAGAATATATTACTAAAGTTTTATATGAAAAAATCTGGAACGCACTCTCTACACACAATATTCACCTTCGTCAATATCACTTTCCTCTTCATTTTCGTCATCATCGTCTCCGTCTGTGACTTTAGCGGCATACGCTCTTTTTAAACCTTCGAATAGCAAAATTAAGGATGGAATAATTTGCGTTGCACATTCGTTAACAGCAGGCGGTCGCGCAGGACCCATGCTGATTAATGTACACAGTCCAAGAACACACAGTTTACGATCGTGCAAGCTATAAAGAAAATCAATCAATTATAATTATCGCAAAGAAAATTAATATTTTATAAGTATTTATATTTTAATAATTTCATTAGATTATTTTTATACGATAACAATATATACCCTAAAAAACAATCAGTATCATTGATCCACTGCTTTATAAAACGCGAAGCAAGCGGCTCTGTTGACTGATCAAAATTTCCTTGTAATCTGTCCATTGTTTCCAGACAAAGTGCAGGATTGTAATATAAAGCGGCAATGACTACTTGAAGACACATCGTCCGCAACTCGGAAGTTTTAACTTCGCGCATTAAGCGTTCGAGGACTAATTGTACAAGTGACGGTATACACTAAAATCGAATCATTTTATTCATATTGCATTTAGTAGATAATTCATTTACACGTAATTTTTATGGACATTACGTTACCTGATCTATATGTCCTTTACATTGCAAAATTATAACTTCTAGTAATTTGGCAGCATGACACTCTGGATCTTCACCACCATCTCCAGTCAAAATCTACAATATATAATAGTTTTATTTAGAAACTAATAATACTGGATTTTGTATAAAGAGAATATTCTCTTACTTACAGTTTTACACATATTGAACATAGCAAGAACGTGATTTTCATTCGATAAAAACGCCTGAGTATCGACAGTGATATAATTATGAAGCGCAGGCATCATATCAGTGAAATAGTCAAAACCATCTTTTTGGAAGAGTTGATACATAAGTTCTAAGACTTTCCACATATCTTCAGATATACCTTTACCCGTTAGGTCGTAAACTAATGACAATGCTTCTTCGTAAAATTCTGTCATTAAGAAAAGAAAGCCATTTTTTTTAAGTACGCCCTTAATATCACTATATACATACATATATATATACATATATATATATATATATCAATCAGAAGTATATATAATTAAAAAATATTATGTAAGTACATATACAACTAAATATTATAAAGTTTGTGCTAAATGATGTAATGGTAAAAGATTAGTCTACTAACAAGAAAAAATTCTCGATTTAATTTCCAATTTTAATATCTCATATATATCTAACTAGAAAACATTATTCTGCATATGAAAATAATTTCAAAGACAAAACACCAATATTATTTGGTGTGAATTTGGAGAGATAAAAAAAATAAAATATTTAAATAAAAGACAGAACAGTATTCTTGAGCTTATTGGAATTTCACAAATTTATAAAGAAAATAATCAAGAACATTATACAGAGTTGCCACAAATTTGAAATCGTAAAATTTCCTGACATTTCCCTGATTTACTGACAAAAATTTGAGATTTTCCCTAACCTCGAATAATGCATACTTTGCAATATTTCTTGTTATTTCCAGCGATTGTACATACACGCACATTTTTTCATCAGGACTTCCAAAAAAAAAAAAAAAGATTGTCCACAAAGATCACGGCATGGTGTAAAGGCAAACAATGTACAGCTGCAGCTATTCCAATTTTCCTGACAAGTGTGCTAAATCCCTGACTTTTCCTGACTTCCCTGACGCATTTTTAAATTCCCTGTCATTTCCCTGACTTGTGGCAACCCTGTTATAGAAATACACTAATAAGTAATGTTAAGCGAAGAATATGATTATATATACTGAAATATTCAAATCCATGCGGAATTTATTAAATTCAAGTAAATAAGAATTTTCTTTATCGAACGTGAGCATAACATGACAGACAGCGCACTAGTCTGTCATGCCAGAGGTCCCAGGTTCAATCCCTAGCAAGAATCAAAATATTTGTGCTCGTGTCTCCTCTCGGAAAAGGCCGGCAACCTCCCCAAGGCCCACAAAAGACCTCTCAAAAAATCAAAACCGGCATAAAATTGTAGGTCCCATATGCTTGTGATAATTGAATAAGCAGCGTGCGCACCACGAACATATGAGAGAGATGTAACATAAGCCAGAGGTCTAAGACGCAAGAAGATTTCTTTATCAAAACAGAGGATAAAAATTTAAATATGAGAAACATACCCATTACGTTATGTCCAAAGATGTAAACGACTACTTGGAGGACGATCGGTTCGAGTTGCAACATGATTTGAGGGTGATTCTCCATTACCGTTAGTAGCGTTTCTATTGTGTTCAATAGGCCCATTGCTGTTATTGCCTTCTCATCGCTACCTTCGTCTGTTTCAAGTACTTGGCTAAATGTAGCAGCCTGGATAAAGAATATATAACACATGTTCTATCATATAAAATTAAAATTTAACAATTATATGAACTCTTAAATTTTAATATAACAAAGAAAATCAAGACTAATAGAAGTACAACGCAGTTAGAAAGGCGTAGTTATGATGTAAAAACTAGTGTAATTTTCTTTGTGTTTCTATAATTACTTTAAATTCTTCTCGCAAAATACTATCAAACTTCTTACCAAATGCTGACATACTTCCACAGCAATTGGAATTAATTGTACAGTATACGTGCAAACAATCTTCTGCATAACACTTGTCAGATCATCGTTTTCCGTTTGCCTTATGATGGTTAACAATTCAAGTGTTATTTGTTTAATTAACGGCTCGATGTACTTTTTAGCTTTTGGTTGTGATGAAAGCATCATCTGAATTGCTATGGCTGCTTCGACTTTAACAGGCAAATCAAGATCTCTCAAGAGGGCATTTGTAATTAATCCGACTGCCTCAACTAAAATTTGTTCCGATTTAAACTTAATTTCCCAGAAGTAATGCATCACCCAGCAGGCCTAAAAATAAAAATAACAATTATCACTGCATTAAATATTTTTTCTCATTTAACATCATTATGTAATATACTCGTAAAAAAAAATATATAATATATATATTGTTTCTAATTATCGTTTTATTTACTCTCGCTCGCATATGCCCATGGGGACTGTTGAATTCAGGAAATACGTATTGCAGTATCATTTTGTCCATTTGATCTTTGTAAACTTTCTTCTTCAACAAAACATCGGCTAAACTTCCAATCTAAATAAAATATAATTTTACATATTGCGTTAACAATGTACTAAATACATGTGCTAAAATAATAAAAAAAATGATATAGCATAGCCACACGACAAATTCAAATATCGGACACATTTCTGATTCATAAACGCACCATATGTAATGCACCATCTTTTTGTCTTGGGTCTGCATTTGGACTAGTTAACACCTCCACACAGAAATGCATCGTTTTTTGTAGCATATCTTTCCGTTTTCTACATGCCGAGTGCAACAAGGTTTGTGCCGCTGTAACCGGTGATACAAAATCTTCGAAAATATCTGAAAATACATTGATAAAAGTTCTCTTCACATTTTAGATTAATGCGTTTTAGGTAACTTTAATTTTACCAAATTTTACTCTGATGTATTCATATGGATCAGTATTCCACAATTCCTCATCCGCGGCAGAATACGAGAGAATGGGGAATAAAACATCACGTATAATCTCGAACATGTGAGGCTTCAAAAATTTCCAAGAAAACGCATGGCTCACACTAAGTATTTCGAAAAAAATTACATTACTTAAACTTTGCAAAGTCCAATATAAAACTTTCATTTATTAACATATTATAAATAATCCCTTACCCTTGATTGATATAATTGATTGATTGTTGAATTACCCTAGGAGAGATATAAATTTTTCTGCGATATTGATCCAAGATTTTTAGAAGAACTTCGAGAATACCGGCACTGAAGGTTTGCAAGTACCAATCAGAGAATTCTTTATACTCTTTGGTTACATTTCCTGGGCTACCATATCTATAATTAACAATGCAAAATAAGAAAATGAAATATTTTTCCACTTTCATTATTTTCAACTTATTTTTGTCACTTTCGAGTTTCGATCATCATTAATAACTTTAATTACCTTTCAAAAACTCTGTGTAAAATATGCAACGCCCACTTTTTACATTTCCACCAAGGCAATTCTACGCGTTCGTCATCATCAAGATCAGGATTATTAGTCTCTGGCGGTACAGGCCTATCAGCTATTTGTCTTATCACATCCATCCATTGTGAGAATACTTCTCTCGAAATAAGATCAAGGGGAAGTGTATACTGCAGAAAGAACCATCAAGTTTCAAGATATTTTCCTACTTTTAAGATCTATTGATAAATTCGATCATTCGCATTGGAGTGCACAATAAAGACTATTTTGTATAAAATATCTAAATATAGTATATAATCATATCTAAATACATCATATAATCAACTTTATCAATTAAATAATACACATATGTCCCATTAAGTAATGTGATATTATTATTGGACAATGAATCGCTCAAAATATTCGTATACTTTGACATTTAATTTTATTAATTTCATGTATACTATGTATAACAACTTTTGATAACACTAATCTAATGCAAATGACCGAATTCGCTATATTATACCTCTTGCATACCTGTGTAAGTGCAAAGAAAATTTTTAATATCTGTTTCTGAAGGAGAACAGACTGTTCAGATGAATCTGGCAATAAGCGTAATATCAATTGATAGATCATAGGGAGTAACAAGTTCATTGCTTCATTTAATGGTCCCCTCTCTTCTGCTTTCTTATACCTAGTTTCAGTATAGAAGCATTGGAATGTTATAAAATTATGTTTCCTACATAATGAAATAACAAAGGCATACAACATACTCGAAATTTTTAACGAGCTGATGCAGCGCGAGAAGAACACCAGGCCAGCACGCAGCATCGGGATTTTGAAGGTATATCGTAATTTTGTCCACTATTTGCGTCCATCTTCCAGGGAAATCGTATTTAACTATATTACTGATGCAAACTGCTAATTGTATTCTAAACATACAATACAGATGATGTTATGACAATTTTAAAGAATACATTTATATATCATTCCTTCACTTCAAAAGTGACACAACTCAAATAATATTTTTGTATTTACTATGAATTAATAAACACATTATTTTATTAATCATTACTAGTACAACTTAATTTTATTTTTAAAAAAATCATCAAATTGTCACAACTAATGATTTAAAAAAAGTTATAATTTTTGAAAGACTGAAACAAAAATGATAAAAATAATATTTCATCATGTTACGAATATATTTTTTTTGTTGATATATTATAAAATAATTTTTTATAAGTTAAATATAATTTTTTCTCCTTGGAGGGAGAGGGGGAGGGATTAAACTTAATTCCTCAAGTTGTCGCTTTTCTTTAAAAGGGTTCATATTTCTTTAAGGGTTCATATTTTTCAATAATTATTGATACAAGTCGGATTACAACTTGCCTAATTAAATCCGGAGCGTGTACCACAGCATCTACTATGGCATCACGTATCATTGCACGATCTTGCTCGTGAATACTAAATTCTATGGGCCCACTGTCAACTTCCTTATCACCCCAATGTGAAGTAATTAAATTTTTTAAATAAATTACACCTACAAAAATAATAAAACATTAAGTCTCCGAATTTATTGTTTGTCTTCAGTATTACATAACATAAAGAGATCACAAAGAAATATTTACCAGCTTGTCTGACAGGCATATCGACTTCATTTGACATTACTACCTGCAATAGCGTCGGTGCAAAACCAATAATTTTGTGAATCTGAAAAATTTAAGTACACACACATAAATTTATTACTTGTAGTAATATTGTTGCATTATTATTATTATTTTGATGTTACAATTCTGCAAGCTCATGGTAACTCATAGACTATACAAAATGCAAATAAACAATAGATAACATATACTAACATATAATTCTGTTCTTTGTAACAGAACTACTACATATTCATTGTACTTATAATAAAATAGATATATATTAAACATTTTTGTTCACACAACAGGAGAAAGCGAGAAAGTTTTAGGGCAGTCCAGTACAGAACAAGTCTGTTTTTTATAACTGAACTAGTGTATATACTTTAACTTAATAAAAAAAACTGTTTTTTTTATCTGAACTTTATGTATGGTTTATCTTTTCTTTTTTATTCTTTAATATAAGAAGAAAAGAGGCAAGATAAATGGTACAGTAAGAAACAAAAAGTCTGTTTTTTGTTCCTGCACTAGACTGCAATAGAACTCTTTTTTTTTTTGCTTTTGCCAAATATCAAACATATACCTACCTCATTTTAAGTTCTAAAAGTATACATTAGTTCAATCACAAAAAACAAACCTAAAGTTTCAGTACAGTTCAGTACAGCAACAAAGAACAGAGATATAATTTCTACAACTGAACTAATATTCTTTATATTTACATATGTTTGATATTTGGCAAAAATAAGGAAAGTTCTAATGTAGTCCAGTGCGACAATAAAAAAGACCAAAATATTACGATAAATATATTTCAATATTTGTTAAAAAAAACAAGAAAGTTGTAGTATAATCCAGTGCAGCAATACAAAATCTATCGTATCGACTTATTACACTTATAGTAACATCATTGCATTACCATTACCGCTTTAATGTTACTGTAATTCTACAAGCTCATGATTTATATGGAACATACAGAGTGCATAAATAATAGACAGCATATATGTAACACATATATATGTAAAGTATATAAAAATAATATGCTAGCAATATATATATATATAATACAGATTGCAAAATTAAAGGTCATGTTGGGACAATTTTGCTGAACAATACAACGTATGCGTTAGCATACAACGTGAAAAACATAGCCGATCTGTAAGATCTCGAGAATTATGTGCCATGTTGAGAGTCAAAGGGTACAAAAGCGCCCCGAAGACATCTTCGTCGCACGCACCAGGAGAGGTTAACGAGCGCGAACGTGAGTCCGCGTTGCTGTCCAAAAGACGAACAAACATTTATCCTAAAACTCGGACAAAAGGCGTCCCCTTTGCGGTCTCATTGACCTCTTTCTCATTGGACTAGCTTGCCGCGGCTTCATCAAGAAGAGTCTGCCGAGAAAAAGAATGCCCCCTCCCCTGCCTGCCGTCAGCGGCGGCGGGAACAGTGATGAGCACGCCGGCGTTATCCTCTCGACAAGGACACGTTTTCCGGTTTGATGACGATTCACGTGTGCAAAAACGGGAAACGAGGATCGACATGACATGACGAGGCCACATGTTCCCGAAGTGCTCGAGTTCGCCCTCTCTCTCTCTCTCTCTTTCCACCCCCTTGCACGCGCTCATTCTTTCTCGCTCGCTCCTTTAACCTTCCACCGGGTAGAATCGCAAGCACGTTTTCTCTTCGACAATTCGCTCGCAAATTTCCGTACCTGATTGAGCTGCCCCTCTGCCTCCTTTTGCTGCGCGGGATCGATCGTCGCCCGCAGCAGCTCGGTGAGCTTACGCGCGTCCATCGCTCCGGGCCGCCTCAGCTCGCCTCGTATTAATTAGACGCCTGAATTTTTGCGGATCGAATATCCCAGCACCGGACTTGACCCGGCGCATTCACCTTAATACTTGCTCCCTGGCTGGTCTGGCCCAGTGTGGTCACGTGATACAACAACATGGCGGCGTGGATCAGCTTTTGAATCGTCGCATCCGGTCATGAGGCAAACATCACGTGAGATGTGACCCCCCTATGGTGTGTCGGTATCATTGATACTGGCCCGTATTCAGAACGTATTTTTATCGATAAAAGAGCGCTTTTATCTCTGAAATTCTATAGTATACGTGACCTATTTTATAGTATACTATGACCTAGTTTACACCCAGCCGTCTAATCCCGATTCACTTCGAAGTGAAGTGGATTTATGGAATGTTTACACCTGATTCGCTCTACTCCGCTGAGATTGAAATCAGTCGAAACATAATCAGTTTACACCCAAGAAATTTCACTTCACTTCGAAGTGAATCGGGATCGAACGTTGTTAGCTCGTTCTGAATACGGGACGGGCCTATGAATAATATAATGAATATCGTCTAAAGCCCGTGTCACACTACGGATTGTGGACGCGGATCGGATTGAGATTGCGACACGCGCATCGGAATTCAGCCAATCAACACATAGCAGCTTTATTTTGATTAGCTGAATCCCGATGCGCGAATCTCAAACGTGTGTGAAGTCCCATGGAGCGTATCGCGCGTATCGCGAATCACGCGTATCGAAAATCTGACCAATCTCTGACGTTCCGCTATTTTCGAAATTTCGATACGCCGCCGTTCCGTCGAATTCATTATTGTAGCGTAATACGCGCCGAATATAAGTGAAATTGCTTGGTCTGAAAAAGTAGTGTCATGGCAGCCCTCGAGATGTGTAATGTTTTCGTAGAATCGCAAGATTGCGTTGAGTGTTGCATCATTTTTGGCAATATTTTCGTTTTCCTCTATTAATAGTTTTTCCTCTATCAATACTTTTTTTAAATATAGAATAAAGCTCATATGTTTTAATAATTTTATGATATATTTCCTGTTTGATGAAAGCATTATATGGTTGTGGTCTAGACGTTTTGTTAATAGCAACAGCAAAAGCAATATTGTTTTTTATTTCATTCTACACCTGTTAATTAAACCATTGCGAATTTTTTAATTTAATTATATTAAATAAATTAATATTTAATACAATTTAGTTACACTAGGGCAGAGTTGGGCATGTATTTAAAATACTTTTATTTAAAACACAGTTTTCGGAATAAAAGTAGATTTTATATTTTATATTTCAGCGATGTACATGAAAGTATTACATATTTTGTATTTAAAATTGAAAGATTGAAAGCTCTATGTACTTCGTAATTTAAATAATAACAATCTTCAATATCTTAGTATTTAAAATACAAAATACTTTCAATCTTTCATTAATAATACTGAAATACAAAATATAAAATACTTTTATATACTTGCATAAAATATAAAATGCAAAATATTTTTATGTACGCCGTTCAAATACAAAATACACGATACAATTTGTCTTACAATTATCATTTTCAAATAAAAGTATTTTAAATACATGCCCAACCCTGCACTAGGGTTACTTTTTGCTGCTGTCCTCTTTTTTTCTACGGTCCCAGTTATTCGTCCGCAAAAGTCGCAATTTTGTTCCGCTGTTTTCGATACGCGGTAATTTCGTTCCTATGGTCCCATGAAGCGAAATTAGCGTATACGGAATCGGCGGTTTACCAGTCAAACAACTGTTTAGACGAAGGCAGATAAAGGAAAGTAATGAAAATCTCTTCATGATTGGCTATCCGTCTAATTCGCTTACGCGAATTCCGCTCCATGGGACCATAGGGACGAAACTCTTGCGTATCAAAAACAGCGGAACGTCAGCGATTGGATCAGATTTTCGATACGCGCATCCGCGATACGCGCGATACGCTCCATGGGACTACACCCTGAAGTTGGCCCTACACTTTTCGAATTTCGGATTTTTCTTGATTGTGCTACGTTTGTGTCACATTGTGCCGCAAATCGCAACTCAATATCATCAACCGTTTCCGAAAAAAAAAAAAACAAAGAAAACGTTTTTTTTGCTAGCCTCGCACTTTTCGAATTTTGGATTTTTCTTGATTGCGCTTTGTTGTGCTACGTTTGTGCCACATTGTGCCGCAAACCGCAACTCAATATCGCATCAACCATTACTGAAAAAAAAAAAAAATGCTGGCCATAAAGGAATTTTTAGGAATTCAAAATTTCAAACCCGTGTATCTTGCGAACGATGCAAGATAATCGAATTCTGCGAGTTGTGTTGATTTGTGCTACTCGAAATCTACGAGAATCGTAGTTCGTAGGTCCGCCTGCGCGCGTGCGCGCGCGGGTGTGGGCTACCAAATCGTTTTATGTTGTATGTACCATATATGTAATACTACTATATCGCTAGTGCCTATAAGAGGGAGTGAGAGGAAGCGGTCCCAGAACCACGGTGCGGGAATATATATTTCCCTCTCTTTCTAAGAGTACTTTGAGTGTTGTGCGCATGCGTTGGATTGATTGCATCCGCCAATAGGAAAATAGAGTGCGATCAGTGAGATGACGCGAACAGGTTATGCTCGTTATGCTTATTAGATGTGTGCTGTTTTTACACAGGCAAAAATGGTGAAGATATGTTATTTATGTGGCAAAAAGCCTAATGCGCCTAATGCGACTGAAAACATTAGTTTGCATAGGTATGAAATAGGTATTAGTTTGCACTGATTATCATGAAATTTCTGTAAGGGATTGCACTGTATTCTTATATACATATAACATAACGGCAATTTTGAAAAAGTTTATTTCATAAAATTAGGATTAATTTATTTATTCCGACTAAACTGACTCTGTTAACTGTAACAAGGTTATACCCTGAAGCGGAATCAATCACTTTTTCCTTCTTCCTTACACATATATGTATATTTATCCTTCTATTTATTATTGATGGAGGGGATGATCCGACGCATGCGCACAACGTTCAAAGTACGCTGAGAAAGAGAGAGAAGTATATTCCCGCACCGTGGTTCTGGGACATGGACTTCTCTCTCATCTAGCCATATAGTAGTATTACATATATGGTATGTACATACAGTTTGCGTGAATGCAATAAGTTTCGCCCCCCGAGTATCGAATTTTAAATACAATCACGGTAAAGATACAAGGTGCGATCGAGTTGCCACTACGAATGCTTTGAAGCGTTTCTTAATTGGTCAATTTGTAAAGTTCTTTCTTCTGATTGGTCAATCAAACGCTTCAAAGCATTTGTAGCGAGACTTTGACCGTACCCGTAAACAGTTGCTTATTTCAAACGAGAGAGAACAAAAATTAGATATATGTCGTACTGACGAACAGCGAAACAATCGAGGTGGTTTGTGTCAAGCATTACATATAATGGCTACTTTCAGCAGACTTAACAGTTGAGTGAGCGCTCTCTGTTATTGGTATATTCTTCTAGATTTAAAATTTGATTAGATGATCTAAAAGAATACACCAATAACAGCGAGCGCTCACTCAACTGTTGAGTCTGCTGAACGTAGCCAATGGGCGCATTCAGCAGAAAAGAGCGCTACGAGAGCGCTCGCTGTTATTGGTATATTCTTCCAGATTTTAAATTCTGATTGGATGATCTAGAAGAATACACCAATAACAGCGAGCGCTCTCGTAGCGCTCTTTTCTGCTGAATGCGCCCAATGTTATTGTAATGTTTAAGATAGCAGAAAAAGCTTTAAGAATTAATCAAAACATATATTATTCAAAACTAAAAATATATATTGTTTTTTAATACATCAGTCTGAACGCTATCTTCCATCATACATATTTAATACTAATAATCATATCTTTCCACAAAAATTTGATCATCGAAGTCAATTGATAAGATTAATTTTGCAAATCTTTTTCAACATTTACATCTTAAACATGAAAGTGCAACATGTATAAATTTCATTCCAAGAGTAAAAATGAGGGGAACAACAAATTAATATTTTTTTAAAATCAATAAAACTGAAATTACATAAATGTTCAAAGATTTTAAAATTTTTTCAAGTGTTATTTACTACAGTACCAAAAAGCAGAGTATACTAAAAATTATTATAATATATAATGTTACGTATTTTTATTATTTACTCCTATTATGTATCTCTTATATAGTTTATCACTGTATATGCGGTAAAAATATTATAAAAATTACTATTTTATTTGTTATACGATAAAATGCGTTTACATTTTTTATTGATTTGGAGAAGGGTACTCTTTTCGTTAATATAGGAAACCTGTCCTCATGTATCCTCATGTATTTATCCTCAAACATGTCCAAAAAAATGTTTGCTCTAAATAAAATATAGAGTACTTTTAACAGAATGTGTGCATTTATATCATCGTGTTTTCAATTTTTTTATTCCCTCTTTCGATTCCCTCTCTCAGAATATACGGCTATACGCATGCGCGAAACGAAAGAAACGCGAGAGAATGAGTGCGTCCTTTTCTAAATGTGGACTACCCCCATTCCTCCAATGCGACCTCCAGTACTACTATCTCTATGGTTCGTGTTGTATATCTCGACTCCAACAAGTTCTAACGTGTTCTAACATGCTCTAACATGTTGGAGCTGGTTGGAGCATGTGACACGAGCCTGAGGAAAAAGGTTCACCGTCCGCTGACAAAAGAAGAAAGAAAATCCATACAAGAAAAAATTAACTGTGAAAGACGACCCTTTAAATAGACCTCGCAGCCTTACGATTGGTCGGTTTTCATACCCCCCCCCCCCCCACAGACCCCCCATGGGCCCATCTAAATTCTAAAGTTTCGACGTTCTCTTTTTCCAGTCATTTCCAGTTGCATTGCGTTAAATCTTTCGGATTAAAAATAAGTTGAACGTATAAATCAAGCATCAAAGAGAAAAGAAAGAAGCTGAACGAATAAAAAATTCGGTTAAGAATAAAGCGATTATTGGCACTTCTCGAAATCTACACACGCGGGACAGACAACCGAGCTTGGAATTAGGAGCGTGCGAACGAGGGCATCGCGGAGGGCACCGTGGAGGGCACCGCATGAGAATCCGCCCAGCGTCGTGCTGCCGCACAGCAAT